AACTGAGCCACTCAGGCACCCCAAGACTTTTAATCCTTAATATATCATTATAAATAGGAAGGAACTTCATAGTTTTTATGAGCTCCATACAATTTTCCTTACCCTGATTTATTGCATTAATGAGGTTTTAGGCTACCATACTCACAGTTCCTACAACACAATAAGTATTGCCCCCAAGGCCTCAAACAGCATTATCTTTAAAGACACTGCAAAACCTCTAACAACAACAAAAAGAAAATAACAGGTAATAAAGTATAAAGAATGACTATACCAGAAATTTATACTTGATCAACTGAAAATGAAAACTAGACTGCAGGCATTTTTAAGTGGTGAAGGGATTATAGTCAAATTATATAGCCAAAGGAAGCCACCCTCTACTTGGAAAATTAATTTGCATTTTCTTTATTAAATCTATGAGGAAGATAAAAAGTACCAACACCAAACAAAAAGCTGGGGAAAACACCTACTCCATATCATATGTTCTTTACCAAGTTTAATAGCACAGCCTGTTTGGTAATATAATTCATGTTTGTATAGAATTCACCTCAGAATGCAATGAAGCCATATTTCCTCCCAAGTACCCCATTCAGCCACCAACAATGCATATTTATTTAGGACTGTTAATACGTCACACTCTGTGAAGCATATGGAAAACATGACGGGATTGAGTCAAGTGTACCATCCCTTCCCTGAAGAAATAAAACGAAGATCCAATACCACTCACTTTTGCACTGGATTTTAAAAATCCTCTAAAAATCTTAGTTAATTTCACCTTAATAAAATAACAGTTAATGGAAAAATTGTAGGTAAATATTACAAATACAACAGAATTAGCATTGTGATTAAAGATAAAAATTTTCATTTACCAAAGAAAGCCCTGAAATGTGATACACTCAATCTAGGTTAAATTTTTGTGGGCTATTATCAGTCTCTTAAAAAAGGAAGGGGGCTTGATTTATTTTTTAAAGGATGAAGTTAGTTTTGTTTTGTTCTGTTAGTTTATTTTGAGAGAGAAAGAGCAAGTGAGAAAGGGAGGGAGGGCATAGGGGCAGAGAGGGAGAGAGAGACTCCCAAGCCTGACTCTGGGCTCAATCTCACTGACCATTAAGATCATGACCTGAGCCAAAATCAAGAGTCAGACACTGACTAACACCAGATGGGGCTTGATTTATAAAGGTCTTTCAGAATAGACCACTTGACACCCAGTTCTGTAATAAACCCAATCAAAATGTTAACAATCTCTGGATTTGGAAGTCCTTGACACAACTTTTCCTTTCATCATCCCTATTTGGGCTTGTCAATGTTTCTTCCAAAATCTCCCATTTGCCCTTTTTCTTTCTGACTATCCTCATATCTTGCCTGGATTTGCTCATTCATTCATTCATCATTTACCAAATGCCTATTATTTGCCATGCACAAAGCCAGACCCTTGTCCTGGCTCTAAGGAAGTTCACATGATACTATGTAGAACTGTTATCTGCCAATCTCCATGATGGGGCTGCAAACTTTAGCAAAGGTTTTGTATTTCCAGAATCTAGTAGCATCTGGCATATAGTCTAAAAATGTTTATTATATGACACTAGATTACTTCAGCAAGCTCTTTTTAAATCCATAAATATTTATATCTTCAAAAATGACTCTTGCTTTTCTTCCCTTTTTAAAATACAAAAGCAATGTGTGTGCAATACAAAAATCAGAAAGGTACAGAGTACAAAGTGAATTCTCCTACTCCCTAAATCCTACTTCCAGCAGTGACTACTATTACAGTTTGGAATAGATCTTTCCAGAGCTTTCCTATCCTGATATATAACACACACTTTTAAATGTTTTTGGAATAAGTTATTTGACAGTTTGACTCTAGCTTCTCAACTTTCTTAACCAGTTGAAGTTCGTTCTCAAAGTGTTGTCCCTGGATTAGTAACATCAGCATCATCTGAGAACTCATTAGAAATACGAATTTTTAGGCCCACTCTGGACCTACTAAATCAGAAACTCTGGAGGTGGGGACTTTTTTTTTTTTTTAACTAGGCTCTACACCCAGTGTGGGCCTTGAACTCAGGACCCTGAGATCAAGAGCCACATGCTCTATCGACTGAGCCAGGCAGGCACCCCTTATAATATGGGTTTTAAGCTCTTTAGGTGATTCTAATGCATACTAACCATTGAGAACCACTGCTCTAATCCAGTTAACACAGTTTTACCACCCTACTTTAAAAGGCTTTCTTTGCCCTTCTGATTAATTCTGACGCTACCAATCTGTCAAAGTCCTGAAAAGTCCTAACTTCTCCCCAAAGTACTCTCACTACCACAGCTAATGCTGATTGTTCTTGCCTCTCCCCTAACTCCTGTAACATACCTAGTTTCTCTACCACACAACTTAACAATTACTGTTATAATTCATAGTTCTTTACTATTCCCCAACAAAGCTCCTTAAAGACATGCGTCATTTTTGTTATCTCTTCTTTAAGCACATAAGTGGAATTTTAAGAAGATGCTAGTTAATATAAAGATAAATTAACTTATTAATGGATAAAAAGTCTGCAGTTTCAAGTTGTAGCCCCAGTTCTGTGACTTTGGACAAGTTCACTTTTCAGGATGAGGTCTGAAAAAGATGAACTCAATGACTTGATGCTTTCTTTTAGCTTCAACAGTGTATGATTTTATGAAATGTACCATTATACCCTCATACTGCTTGCTTATAATGCTATCATGGCAATTTTTGGACTTGACTTGAGTTACAGCTAGGTATGGTGTTTCTCAGTTAACTAGTAAGCTCTTTTAACAAGGGTCATATTTTATTCAACTGAGAATCTTATACCATGCCTTACATATAACAGCTCAATATATTTGCAGAAAATTATTTAGAAAAACTCTTTAAAAAGCCTAATTTATGCAAAAAACCTATGCATAGATCTGCTGCCTCCCAAAGGGCCTTTGAATACTTATTATTGTAAATATTATGAAGTGATTTATGGAAAAAAATTCTGATTACTCTGATAGCACCAGGGGTAGTCAGCAACATAAAGCCAAAGAATGCAAAAACTCTCACATGTAATTAAGGATAGACTAAAAAGCCATAAGCCTTAGGCTACCTTACTGCAACACGCAAATAAAAAGTGCCCTGTACACTTAAGTGGCATATACCAACTCCACTGTTGGGAATAAATGGTCTTCTTCACCCAAAACCCTTATCTGCAAATTTACAGAAACAGGGTGGAATGGAGACCTTGAATAGTAGGTGATGACCAGAAGTTGAATCTAAAGGGAAGGACAGCAAAGAGCAATTGAAGGGCAAGAAGGAGGAACCAAAGTGCAGCAGGAAAACATCACTCTGAGTAATGAAAAGGAGCAGTGGAAATTCACGGAGTCTTTACCAAGGGCCTACTATGAACCAAGCACTTGAGGCTGCAAAGATGGCTCCAGACCTCAGGGGGCTAATATAAGAGTCCTGAGGGTAAAACTGAAGCCTCTACCCTACTGCCTGTGAGTGTGTGTGTGTGTGTCTGCATGTTTAATTCTAATTGGGAAAATCACGCAAGTAAGGCTTCTCACAAAGATGGTGAGTTAATGGAGCTTTAAAGTGTGTAGGAAGATTTGCTAAGGGAGAAAAAAGACAGTTGAGCTAGTTATTTTGGGGAAGAAACATACACATATTTTTACAGCTGTTCCTTTGGGACTTTAAATCATGGAGGCTTCTTATATTCACCACCACTTTGTCATATGCCTTCTTTCTCTTTTTACTTTATCTTAAGTACTGACATGTTCAAGCCCAGCCCTGGAACAGAGCCAAAAAGCCCCAGAATGAGGTGAGTGCTCGCCAAATTTGCTCTGTCACCTCCAAATCCAGCCAGCCCAGCTAGCCCGGTCCCGCTCTCCTGGCAGCCAGAAAAGGAAGACTAATTATATCCTCTGGGGGTAAAATTTGGATGCAGGCAGGCAAAGCTTATCCCTGTTCCTCCAGTGAGGTACCATGGGAGAGCTTCCTTGCCTCCTAAGCCAGGAGGTTCTAGTCTACCTGTGACATGGAGACCAGCTTCCCAGAAAAAGAAAAAGAGGAAAAAAAGCTGCATGAAAAAGAAGAGGGATGCACAGGACCGGGAAACGCTGAGCTATTAAGTGAGATAATCGTCATAAAACGTTTAATAATACCTCTGGCACACAGAAAGCGTTGGATAAACGTGAGCTCTTATGAACAACATACTGCTACTACTATTATTATTATTATTACAATAACGTTCCAATTGTACTCCAACAAAAAAACACTGTTTTCATAGCCTACTTTTATGACGTTGAAGAAGCAACTCCAGAGATAAAAGTGTCTTTCAAAAATCTTTAAAGGTACAAGATCAAATTCCAACCGTGCTGGCCTGAAAACCCCAGACCCTGAGTTCAAAAGCTAGTCGTGCGACTCGCCAGGCGCGTGACCTTGGGCTCTGCACTTCACCTCGGAGCCTCAGTTTCCCCGTCTGTAAAGTGAGGCTAAGAAGTCCCTCCCCTCGCAGGGTTGTAGTGGGGTCCAGTCCGAGGGTACTCCTCGCTGCACTGGGGTCGCAAGGACGCAAGGCGAGCTCCTGGCCCATCTTCCAAGACCCCTGGCTTCGGGACGGGCGGGGTATGTGAATACGCGACCGGAGGCCCATCGAGCTCCGCCGCCCGTAGGGCAGGAGCAGAAAAGGGAAGCGCGCCTGAGATGCGTCCCTGAGACCGAGGGTGTCGGGCGCCCGGAGGCTCAGCCCTAGCCGCCCGCAAGCTGTCACCAGCTGTTTCGTCGCGGAGCCCCCCAGCCCGGACGCGGGGAGCGTCCAAGGGAGGCCAGGCTGACCCAGGTGCCGCCGGCGGGGAAAGCTGAGGGCGCTGGGGGGCCGGAGGAGACTGGCAGCGCGGGCCCCGGGCCCCCGCGCGCCGCGGAGACGAGGCAGAGAAGGAGAAAGCAGGGGGAGCTACGCCCCCGCAGGCAGCGCCGCGCGCCCCCCGCGGGCCGGGCGGAGACGCTCACTCACCTGAGGCGCGGGCACCCGCCAGCAGTGCAGCAGCGGCAGCAGCGGCTGCGAGAGGGGCGGGGAAGGCTCTGCGGCCGCGCAGGCGCGTTGAGGATGCCAGGGGCGCGCAGGCGCGCTGCCTCCCCCCGCCTCAGAAACTACCAAGATGGTGGCTGAGCCGGGAAGGACTGGCGGCACCATCTTGGATGTAGTTTTTCCTGTTGCGGAGTCTACTGGGAGACCCTGAAACTAGAGCTCCCCGGAGGGAGGGGCGTTAAGTGCGGCGTCTGGCCCGCCTCCTTCCTCCCCTACGGCCGATCGCATTCTTAATGAAACCTTTAAGGACCGTTGCAAGGCAAGGCACGAAAGTCATCTCCTTTAATGTGGGCTCAGAGATGCACACAAGGGCATATGGCCTAGCACAGTGCTTGGCTGGCTAGTGGAGGGCGCTTACAGATTTCTGATGAATGAGCGCAGTAACAGAAGAACTAGAATCCAAGACTCAGGGCTGCTAATTCGCAGTCCTCCATTCTGTCACCTCTACTGACAACTGCCAGCCACACCATCTCCTTTCTTGGGTGCCACAAGGGAAATAGAGTTTGTTTTCTTAAAAAATGATTACACATTAAGCTTAATGACCCAATAATTTAACACCAAAATGTACAGGACAAAATTCCTTATCCAGAAGAGCGTTTTGGTTAATCTCACTAAAAGTAAAATAGTCTCAGCTAAAGTAGGGCAAATGGAAGGTTACCAAACATCTCAAGGACAGTGACCTTCTATAATATTGTTACTCATCAAGCACAATTCCTGAACCAAATTTGGGAGGAGAGAAAATTAAAATTAACTGAGCACAGTCTTTTATTATTATATGATTTATGTTTATTCGTTAACATTTAGTGAGTGCCAAATTGGTTCTATTTATATGGCCTTGGTTAGATTATTAAGCCTCTCAATGCTTGAGTTCCTCATCTACAATGACAAAATATTACAAGCTACCTAAGTTCCGGTCTGTATGAATGTAAAATGCTTAGAGCTTATAAGTGGGGGTTTTTTTCCCCTTCTTTTTAAATGTCTATTTTTAAGAGAGACACAGAGCCAGTGGGAGAGGGTCAGAGAGAGGGAGACACAGAATCTGAAGCAGGATCCAGGCTTTGAGCTGTCAGCACATAGCCTGACGCAGGGCTCAAACTCACAAATGAGATCAGACCTGAGCCAAAGTCGGACACTTAACTGACTAAGCCACCCAGGTGTCCCAAGTGTTATTTTTCTTATTTAGCTATTGAAGATGCAGACAAAAAAACTCTTTTTACCTTTGAGTTTGAACAAATTCTTATAAACAAAAAATGCAACACAATGTACTAAATAAAATGAGGGAAGGTATAATCACCTGGGAGAGGTGTGATCTACCCCATTTTACACATAAGGAAATTGAGCACAAGAGATAGATTCACTTCAAACTGTATGCTCTTTCCTTAACACTACTCTGCTTTTCAAAGAGTAGGCAATTAACACCGCTCTTCTGATTCTTAAAAGTCCAGTTTTCCTTGAGGCCGTCCAAAGTTTCCTTTCTTGCTCTAGCCTTAACAGTATTATCCATTCTCAAGGCTTCAATAGCTATACATTAGTTACTTCCAAATTTTATCTCTAGTCCAGACTTTTCTACCCAGTTTTCCATCTCTATATCCAAAGGTCTAGTTGACTTCTCCATTTGGTATTTCAAACTGAACTATTAACTTTCCTATCTCATTAAGTGCTCTCTTACCCACCCAGTTTTTCAAGCTTTCACCCCTCCAGCATATTGATACCACTGTTCTAAATTTATATTATTTAATCTTACAGCATTCCTGTGATACAGGTTCTATCACTCTCCCAGTCTTACAGATAAGAGGTTAAATCACTTTTTCTCAATCACAGTAAGTGGCAGTTAGGCTTCTAACACATAGGTCACATAGTTCCAGGTGCTAGGAGCAACTCACATGTCTCCGTTTTTGTTTTTTGCTCTCTCCCCAGTTCCTAGAACTATGCCTGGCATATAGCAGGGGCTCTGTAAAAACATGAAAGAAAAAGGAATGTAGGTCAAAGGAAGGAGATATCCTTTCACTAATTGGTACTTAGGCTAAGGTTTAAGACTTAAGAATAATGACTGGGTATTTAAATGAAATAAGCTTTATCCTATTAGAGGATCAGAGAATAAGAAACATTAACAATAAACTAATTGGTGTTTTATTGGTAATTAATGCAGAGGCATATCTCCACACTACAGAATCCTATGTTCTGCTAAGCCACCACTGACTTAAAAAGGCTTTTTTTTTTTACCGTTTATTTATTTTTGAGAGAGAGAGAGAGGCAGAGCGTGAGCAGGGGAGGGGCAGAAAAAGAGGGAGATACAGAATCCAAAGCAGGCTCCAGGCTCCAAGCTCCGAGCTCTCCGCACAGAGCCCAACACCAGGCCTGAACTCATGAACTGTGAGATCATGACCTGAGCCGAAGGCAGACACTTAACCGACGAAGCCACCCAGGTGCCCCTTAAAAAAATGTTTTTATACACTCAAAATATACACAAAGACAAAAGACAGCTTTTAATAATGAGCAATTTTATAATGCAAATTATTAAAAATAGAGAACAATGAAAAATAGTACTTAGCCTCTTCCTGCCACGAATCCGGGATTTAGGATGTCAACTCAGTATTAACAGCTAAAGGACGCTAGACAACAGGACAGAGAATAAGTGGTATTTCCTTCAATCTGGACATCATGTGAAATGATACACGTAACCACATGATACAAACAACGCTCAAAACTTAACTACCTGAAATTACCTTCAGGGCCATGCCAGAAAATCAGTCCCATTCCTTTCCTACCAGAATCCCACTTGACCCCTACCTACAATGTTTCCCTGGATTTGGTCCTGAATGACTTTGGATTGTTTCAAAACCTAAAAAACACCTTCTCAAAATGAAGTTTACTGACTATGAAGGATGTTTAAAAGAATGGACCACTAGTTCTCAAGATCATTTCACAACAGAAGTTGCAAGCATTTCGCACATTCTTGGAAAAAGTTAACTATACTACTCTTTCAGATGCAGAAGTTCTGTCACTTTTAGAAAAAAACCAAAGTACTCTACATTCAGCCAGTTATCCTCAAAGGCAGTAGGGCAGCTGTCACCAGCTCAGACTGCCATGCAGTCGCCATGTGCTGGGGCACTGTTCTCATTTGTCTCCTCTGGAGCACCTTATGACAGGCAAGCTGCATGAAGTCACTGACAAGATCTAGAGCAATGTGTGGCAGGTGGGTTCCGTAGCTGAAGCTTGAGCAGTTTTCGAGCTGGTGAGGGATCTAATTGTTGTGTGCTTCTCTTCCCTGCAGAGGAAAGACAAAAGTAAATTTCAATTGAATTCAAATAACATTTATTGAAAACTTACTGTATGGACACTGTGCCAGACGCTGAAGGGCATTCAATGACAAATGAGAGAATTTCTGTCCTCAAGGAGATGGCAGTCTGGTGGGAAAGCCAGCTGCCACCTACAACCATAATACTAGGTAATAAGAAAATTAAAGTAATATATAGCAAACAACCTAGGGCTGGAGGAGGCCGTGAAAAACAACAGGGAAGTAACGTCAGTGTCATTTAGTGGATTTCTGAAGAATGAAGGAAAAAGGCAAATAGGGTATTTAAAATACTGGATATACTAAAACAACATCAGGGTTTGCGGGATTTAATTTTCAGTCTTCTGTGCTCCTGTGGAATTTACATCAAGAAATTTCCCATCAGCTCTGAGTACCCACAGAATAATAATTACTTTGAGGAGAGAAAAAGAAATCATCTGATATAGGCTTACTCTGAGACCACATGCTTTGAAGGGCATTTTTTATGTGAAGGGTTATCATCTAGAAAATAGTGCAAGCTCGAGTCCCCTCAAGACACACACTCACCGAGCTGTACTGACACCTTCTGGAGACACTGGGTACTTTCATCCATAAAAGCTTGCAGCTGCTTCACTGATCCTTGCAGTTCGTCCATCTGCACAGAAAAGACAGCTGTGAGCTATAAGGGTCTGTGGCTTCTTTGACGTTCCTCAAAAATCATCAGGCAAGCTCCTGCTAAGGACCTTTGCTTTTGCTCTTTTTCAACCCGGAATGTTTTTGCCAGACATTTTGTTTGCTCTTCCAGATCCACACTCTGCACTTGTCCATGCTGCTCTATGCCCTGGGCCACTGCTATGCGTAACCTCAAACAGGATCCCATGTCCTCTGGCATCTGGGTCAGTTTAGACAAGAGGAAGCCCATGTCGGAGGGAGCAGAATCAAGTCAGGATATTTTTACCCAGGCTTGCTCCTGGAAGGGTCAGCTTGAGTTAGTTCTGTCTCTCAGCTACAGGTCATGGCTCTCTTTTCCTCCCCTCCACCCTTCAGTCCTAGAGACAGTAAGAGCTCAGCTGCCTCTAAGCCCCAGGTTACTTCACCAACCCTTGTGGTTTCCACAATACCCACTTTTTATACATCACTTCTTCAATTACCCTTTATCAAGTGCCATCTGCTTCCTGTTGATACGTGGAGTGATACAATACTATTCTCCCAAATGTCCTCATGGCTCACTTCCTCCTTTCTTTCAAGTCTCTATTAAAATGGTACCTTAGAAGGATCAGGGGCACTTGGGTGGCTCAGTTGATTGAGTGGCTCTTGATTTTGGCTCAGATCATGATCTCACGGTTCATGGGATCAAGCCCTGTGTTGGGCTCTGCTCAGACAACACAGAGCCTGCTTGGGATCCTCTCTCTCCGACCCTCCCCCACTTGTGAACATGCTCTCTCTCCTCAAAATAAACATTTTTAAAAAATGGTACCTTAGGGGTATTATCAACAGCTGCTCTATACAGCAATCTGCTGCCCTTCCTGTATACTGTCCCTTTCTCTGCTTTATTGGCTCTTATCCACCATATTTTATTCATTCATTCATTCATTCATTCATTCATTCATTCATTCCTTCCTTCACCATGTCTCCCCAAGGTAGAGCTGAATATACTTATTACACATATTCTCCAGGTCTCATAATTTCCAAGGATGACAAGATAGTAAAACTTAATAACCAAATAAACATGAGACAACTAACCATCAACTCCATATAATCAAAGACTTTGTTCTGGTTCTGCACTATCTTCTGGTAGTCAGGCTTTGTGTGAAGGATTTCACTCTGGGAAGACCCAAGATATGTTATAGGTTCCACTTCAACTTTGGTAACTTTGGTTTCAGCTGATTCTCTGAAAATATAATAGAACAAAAGAGCTTTCAAGGAATTTTATAATACTTTTCTGAGGGAAGATAATGTTAGATGACCTAGGGAAAAAACCTCCAATAAGGCTTTATTAACATGAACCAGTATTCTTTCACCCTACTGTAGGCACAGGCTTTCTCATTAATAAGGAAGTTGAAACGATTATCCCATGTTAATGTATTTATACCAATGGACTCCAGGAAAAGCTAGAAGCTTCATATCAGCTGACTCCACCTAACATAAGGTCCACGTACAAAAAGGACTATATGTGAGGTATAGTAAAGCCAAAGCTTTCTTTCCTGAAATCAAGGTCTACGACCTTTTCCCAAAAAAGTGCTGGGCCACTTCAATTATCTAAAATAACTGAACACGACAGAGAGTGCATGAAAACTGATCACTCCCACTATTTCCTGACTGCCAGACCCTGCTAAACACTTCCATTTCACCTCAATTAACACTCACAATAACCCAATGAGGCAGGTGCTCATATCACCCCCATTTTCAAGTGAGGAACTTCAGGTTTAGAGATTAAGTTGTTTGCCCACAATCACAGAATGAAGGAGTAATTAGTATTTGAACAGAGACAGTCTGCGTCCAGAAGCATTCCTCTTAACAAGCTATGCCACATCCAAAGTTTTTATTCTGAAACTGCCATCTTATACGTTACTTATCTCCATAAACAGCACACGTAAGGGGCAAATAAAGTAACTGGTAACAATCAATGCCTAGACTGGGGAAGTTTTTCAAACCACATTCCTCAAAGCACCTCTCTACTAAGAGGCCACTTCTACAGTTAGGGTTTTAGCTAACATTTTATATTTGGGTTTCCAGCTGAGATTCTGTTGGGGAAAAAAGCTTAAAATTATTGGCTTAGATGCCTAACTAAATCAAAGTCTAGCACTTTCCCACTTTCTCATGCCTTTAAGACCCAGACAAAGTTCTTCTTTCTCCTGTACACCCTCTTTCATTACTCCCTTCCATGTCCTTGCATCTCCATGAAGGACATGGCAAGTATTCTCTTCCATACCTGCAGCTCAAAGGCCATGTGCCAACTGAAGTACCCTAACTATGCTTTTGGCCCAACCCCAGGTGCTCTGGTAAAGGGCAGAGATGTGCCGGTCTCCCCCAGGATGTGGAATGGCAACTACAGACACAGAACAGAAGGAGTTCTGTTCTTTAACTGAAAATACTGATACTCACTCTCCCTTCCCTCAATTCTCCATTTATAGTCTTAGAGTGTTAATACACATTTCATAGAGCTCTGATGAGTTGATTGGCCTGTGAGAAAGGGTTCTGCATTCAATTTGTGCTAATAAAACTGAAATCAATTCAAATAAAATTCCACAAGGTAAAAGATGGCTGTCTGTTTCCAAACATGGATCTAACCTGGATATGGTCTCTTCAGCCTCCTTCTGGTATTGCTGCAAGAGCTGCTCCCAAGACTGACGTTCTAAAGAAAATCTATAGAAAAAATATATTCAGTTACTTTTTGATCATTACATTCTGAATCACTCAAGACCATAATAAGTACATTACGTGTCTACTCTGGTTCTGAGATGTGAATAAAAAGGTCATTAAAGGATTAGAAAGCCTAACTGACTCAGAGGATGTTAATTTAATCAAATCAAACACGAGTTCTTAAAGTCAAATTAACATCTTTATTCCCTAGACTCCATTCTATGAAACTGGCCATGATCCCAATATGCAGCTTTCTAAATTCTAGTGCTGACACACTAGTACGGACACTCTGAATGGGGTATTATTCATTTCGCCCAGATCTAGTTATTTTCCCCAGATGAATTTAGATATTCCAATAAAGGATCATTCATTTTCACTTACTTTGTTATGTATTCCTTCATCTCAGCAACTGATGTTTCCAGAGACAAATCTGATGCTTTTCTGGAATACAAATAGGATTATAAGATCAACATAAATCTTTTAAGAGAACTTGCTTTTAATAGGATGCCTTACATAATTTTAATGGCAATAGAAGATGTTCAGAATTTATCTTTCAACAAGTATTTACTCTTGGGCTCTCACTTTTATAGTAGGTAAGTTTCCTCAGTGGTCTCTTTATTTTCTATTTCTCTCATTGATTCCAATTCACCCATAGCCAGATTAACCTTGCCTAAAATATTCCCTAATTTTTTTTTTCCTTATGTAAAACTGTGAACCTCTACTGCATTCAAAAGAAAAGTCAAACTCCTTAACCTGGCACTTAAGGCTGTATTCTGGCTCCAATCAGCTGTTTACCTTTGATTCCAACTATTGCCTTTCACCTATTCTGCCCATATAATCTCACTTAGCCTGCCTCTCAAACTCTGGAGTTTTCCATCTCCAAACTTTTGTTCACATCACTTTTTAAATTTTTTTAAACGTTTATTTTTGACAGAGACCGAGAGACAGAGACAGAGAAACAGAGAGAAAGGGTGATACAGAGTCTGAAGGAGGCTTGAGACTTCAAGCTGTCAGCACAGAGCCCGATGTGGGGCTCAAACTCACGAACCGTGAGATCATGACCTGAGCCGCAGTCAGACACTTAACTGACTGAACCACCCAGGTGTCCCTTTTCACATCATTTTTTAGTCTATTCTTTTTAAGTCATCTTTTAAGGCCCAACAATACTTTCGTATATGACCTTCTTGTCTTCCCATTTAAAATTAACCTATCAGTGGACAGGGATTGTATTTTACTTACATCAATGGCTCAGCTCAGTTGAGCTGATAGAAAAGAAGCAGGCACTGAAAATGCCAAAATTCTGATGTACTTGGTACTCTATCTGATAGGCCAAATGAGTTGAGCCACCTTTCATGTTTCTCTACTGAGGCCCGTGACACACAGCTTCTATCACCTCTGGCCTAGATGCAGCAGCCAGTGGCTTACACACATTTTTATTTTTATTTATTTTTTACACTGCATTTTTAGAGATACTAGGTCAAGCCAACAGACTTTTCATTCCTGAATAGCAATGTTAATTTTAAGGATCTGTGGGAAAGTAGATCTTTGTGAAGTCAAAAGTAAAACGTTTATGATATAGGCCCAAGTGACACAATTTGTTACAGGGCAGGAGGTAGAGAGTTGGACCCTGCCCCTACAAGGAACTACCAGTTTGGAGCTGGGATTTTAAAAATTCTCCTAATATTCTTGCTTGCCAACAGCTAAAGAGCATAGTTTACCACCAACTTGCATAGCTAGCAAAGATCTGAACAATGCTTTCCCCCCTCATCTTTCCATGGCTGGTTCCTTCTCACCACCCAGGCCTTACATTCATTACAGGTCTTCTCTGAACACTAGTTAAGTTGCCCACCCCCTCAAACCACTGTCATAGTTACAGACTTCTTAGATTATAACTACCTAAAATCCTTAATTTTCTATGTAGTCATTTGATTGTCTCTATTAAAATGCATAAGAGAGACCTTGCTTGACTTATGTATGCCTTTATCTCCAGCATCTAGAAGAGCCTGGTGTGTAGAACATGCTGGATAAATGTTTTTTGAGTGAATGAATAAGCTAATTATAATGGAAAGTCTTCATTCCATTATCATTTAGGACAGAAGGGGAACTGCACACACCCTTGTGAATCTTCAAAACATTTCTGTAAAGTTCCATTACTTTCCAGGCTCTCTGCAAAATGTTTCAATTCTTCAGAAAGGGAAGATGCTAAAGGGGAAACAAAGTACATGTTATAAAATAAAAAGAATATGACTTCTCACAGCAAGTTGCTGACAATAACATAATATACTTAAAGTGGTCTCAGCTCAGGGTCCCCTCTTATATTCTGGCCCTCTCACCCATTCAAAGAAGTGGTATAAATGTGCTGAAAGATTTTATCTTTTTTCTTTGGGCCAGTGAGATAAAATGGAAGACAATTCCTCTTTATGACATGTCTGATAGGGTGTTTTTTTTTAATACTTTATTGGTGAAAAAGCATTTAAAGAGTATACATGCACTGACATTATTTCAAAAGCTTGCACTGAAAAGAAGAACATATTACAGAAGCCAGGCAACAGGCAAGAGCGTAATGAAAAATGGTAAAGGAGAATAAAGAATTATGAGCATAAGGGACTCTGCTTAGACTTGGACGTGTCTGCAACTGCACTCAGGTGAGAAATGAAAAGGGGAAGGATATGTTAAAAGCTCTTGTATCTACACTAATTATGGTGATGGTCCAATTCCAAAATAAACCATTTTATCTGGCAACTCAGTCTGAGTTCATATATTTTCCAGATCTTTTAAGTAGGTAACACTGAATTTCTCTGACCCTGGATAATTGTGTAGTTATACTGTAAATAGCTACTTCCTAGAAAGTTGAAGATGGATTCCTGAGAAAGAATATTCGTAACTTATATCACACATGAACAGCTAATTTCCTTAATGTATAAAGAGTTCCTGCAAATCGATATAAAAAAGCCAACATCCCGATTTTCAAAAATGAACACAGGAGCCTTTCTGGCAGTGATGACCTCCCCACAAGAACATCCCCTCATGAAGGACCTCCCAGAAGAGAAAGCACAAGCGCCTGTTGCAGAGCCCCAACTCCTACTTCACTGATGTGAAATGCCCATGATGCTACAAAACCACCACCATGCACAAACAGCAGTTTTTGTACGCTGGCTGCTCCACTGTCCTTTGCCAGCCTACAGGAGGAAGTAAGGCTTACAGAAGGATGCTCCTTCACACAGAAGCAGCACTACAAGCAGCCTGAATCAAGATGAGGGGGGAAACGATTCCAGTCAATACATTTTGGATTAAAAAAAAAAACTGAACAAAGGATACAAACAATACACCAAAAATGAAGTATAAATTGCTTTAAAAAATATGAAAAAATGCTTATCTTCTTTGAAAGAAAAAGGAACACAGATTAAGACTAGAAAATGCTTTTTATTGGAGTGCCTGGGTGGCTCAGTTGGTTGAGCATCTGACTGCAGCTCAGGTCATTAACTCACAGTCTGTGAGTTTGAGCCCTGTGTCGAGCTCCGTGCTGACAGCTCAGAGCCTGGAGCCTGGTTCGGATTCTGTGTCTCCCCTCTTTCTCTGCCCCTACCCTGTTCGGACTCTAGGTCTCTCTCTCTCTCTCAAAAATAAACATACATTAAAAATTTTTTTTAAGAAAATACCTGTCAATACCTATCAATAGTAAAAAACCTGAGTTGTTTGATAAAACTCTTTTGAGTGTGAAAAAATAGGTACTTGCATATATTACTGGTAAGAGAATAAATTGGTAAAACATTTCTAGAAGGCAATCTGGTATTCCTAACATTTCATTTGACCTATGTAATTCCAATTCTAGAAATTTATCTTATTTTTACTTGCGTATGTACCTAAAGGCTTGTGTAAGAATATGTTCATTAACCTATTCATTGTAATAGCAAAAGACTGGAAACAACCCTAAAAGTCCATCAGTAAAGAACTGGTTAAATCATATATGGTAAATTTATAAAATGAAATATCATGTCTACTAAAATGTTGACAGTTCTGTGTGCAACATGCAACGATGTGCAAGACAAGCTGTTAGATTAAAAAAAAGAAAAGGTAAAGATTACAGAAAGTATTATTCACTTGATATTAATGTAAAAATGTTGGAAATCCAGTAAGATCTCTGCGATGATACACAAGAAGCTGGTGGCTATGGTGGTTTCTGTACAGAGGAGCTGGTTTGGGGTGGGAGGTAAGTTTACTTTTCACTTTTATTACCTTCTGAACTTTACAAGCATATGTTCTTATTTTTTTAAACACAATTCTAAAATATAGAGGGAGGGCTGGTTTTGTGAGCCAGTAGTTCATATAAATGGGGATCCTGAAAGTGGGGCTTCAACTGACCTTAACAGGAGGTAAAGACCAAAGCCAAAGCTCACTCATTTATTCTTAGCAACTTACCTTTGGCTCTAAAATTTTCAAGACTGAAGCCTTCAGTGTCCTTTAGGAAAGGTTCAAGTTTCTGAACTGAGAACTAAATAAGAAAAGCATTTTCAGTACAAAACAAAGATTTTTCAGGCCAGTCCTGAGTTCATGTAATTTTATGTTTAATCAGTGTGAAAGTAAACATGATTTAATTTTTAGACCTAACATCTTTCATATAAACAAATAAGTAGATCAGAAAAAATCTCTTTGTTTTTCAGACTACACATTGTGATTTTTGGTTAGGAGAAACATGGGCATTTAATTAACACAAATGATGTGCTTATCTAAATTGATGTAATGACCAGTTAGCCACATAATTACCACTCAGTATGTAGTCAGACCTCAAACGTCTGCTTTAACTTAGATATTGACCACTCCCCACTTTAGATTCCCATCATTTGCTGCAATGGACAAAATATACTAGACTGAGGAAATCTGTTAGCTGCTCAGTTAGCAGCAGCAGCACCAGTGAGATTGGTAGAGAGCCTAGTCCAGAGAGAAATTAGCTGCTACTGTGATTAAATCTGGCTTTTAAATTAATTCAACTAGAGAGAAATGTCTTTTAATCTTTGAAAGAGCGAGCATGTACGTGCACAATAGCAGAGAGGAGGGACAGAGAGCGGAGGAGACACAGAATCCGAAGCAGGCTCCAGGCTCTGAGCTGTTGGCACAGAGCACAATGTGGGGCTTGAAGCCACAAACCTAACTGCAAGACCATGACTGGAGTTGAAGTCAGATCCTTAACTGACTGAGCCACCCAGGCACCCCGAAACATCTTTTAATCTTAACTAACGGCATCACACAGTATTAATCTCTCTTTGGGGCTGTCACAGTAACAGTTTAAAATAAAAAAAAAACAAAAAGAAAGCATTCCCCACTCCCAAGAATCTTACCTGGAAACTGGAAAGCAGGAGAGCACCAAGCCGTTTGCTTTCTGTTAAGTTGACACTGATAGATCTGCTGAGCTCTAACATAAAATATCACATTTTAAGGACCTGGATACTAACACAATTAGCAAAGTAAAAAAAGAACACTTTCCTTCTCCTTGATGCAGTTCAACTCCAGGCAAGAACACCTAAGCAGCCTTCTCTAATTAAAGGGAAAATTCATATGCAGCCATATCTAACTTTTTTAGGATCACCAAAAGATGAAATTTACTTCTTTTTGCATTCTAACTTCAGAAAGTTACTAAGAACCTTTTACAGATTACATTAAAATCTTGTCTGTTAAACAAGATAGATGAAAAATAAAAAATAATTTTTGATGTTTTATATTCACCACTTAAAGAAAGGAAATGGAAACATTTGAGCATTTTTGTGACAGACCCAGTGTGCCTGTTTTTTTAAGTAGGCTCCATGCCTAATGTGGAGCCTGAACTCATAACACGGAGACCCTGAGTCACATCCTCTACAACTCAGCCACCCAGGCGCCCCTGCAGTGTGCTTTTTAATACAGTCTTGTAAATTATGAGCTCCATTTTACAGAGGGGAAAACTGAAGCTCAGAGGGCAAATGATTTGTTTGAGGCCAGGGAATGGTGAAGCCATAATTCAATCCCAAGTCTATCACCAAAATAGTGTATTTTCCAATGAATAGCCATGCTGCCTCTCTGTATGGACCTAACAATAACATTAATAGTAATTTGTTGAACACTTATTATATAAAAGGCACTTCATTAAATAAATGTTATGCACACCTCATTAAAACTGAAGGCAAGTATCTTATCAATTCCATTTTACAAATGACACTGAGACACAAAGGCTGGGGGATAGGTAACCTGCTCAAGGTCACATGGTGAGTCAGCCTGAAATGGATGGGCATTTCACATTAATTATGCCACTAAATCCTCAACTACAAGATATAAAGACTTTTTTTTTTTAATTATGTACAAAAACAATTATTATACACCAAAGGAAGTGTGCTCTGAGGATCTGAGATACATGTACTTTTGTCCGCCAGCTTCAGCTGGCTTCAAGTGTTTTTACTTCTTGTCTCCTGATTATTTCTCTGCTAGAAGTAGAGAAAACAGGATACCTTCTGCCTATAACCAGAAAAACCTGGCAAGTGGGCAGGAATAACCAATCATATTACATCACTGATTTTCTGCTATACAGAATTTTAGGTCCCCGTGCTCTGGAACAGAGGAAGGCAGAGGTGACCTTAGTTAGGGAACTGCTGCTGTTGTCTTGACACACCTGTGAGGTCAAGTGCATGAACACAACTGTGGTGGCAATTTTCTGATAAGCTAAATGGCTATTTTTACCCAGATTTCCTTCTAGACATCAGGCCGTCTGGAAGTGAGCTAATATATTTCAAATAATCACAATAGCTTAACATATGAGCTATTTACTTACTATATGGCCAAGTATTGTGTTACATATATCAATTCACTTAATTCTCACAAAACCGGGTGAAATAGGTATTATTTCATCCCATTTACTGATAAGGACCATAAGGCAAAGAAGATTAAATAATCTGCTCAAGGTTATACAACTAGTAAGTTTTTCCTAAAATGTGCTGGACTTTCCACATTAAATCTTGTATTTCAATGCTTATTGAGATAAAATTATTACTGTAAACTCACACAAATCACATTTAAATACAGCATACCTAAAAGTTTAGTTTTCACCAATGTATTTTACATGCATCTTCCCTCTGAGATATTTTCAGCTATAAAGTCTAAAATCAGGTAGCAACCCACCCATCCTCTATTTCACTTTAGGAAATGATACGGAAAGCCATACGAAGAAATCTTTAATGTCTCTCATCCTAGCAGAGGTGAGAGTTGAACAAATGTAAATTAAAATTTCTGTTCATGATAGAGATTACAGGTGGACAGCTACCAATATAAATAACAGTCATAATGAACACTTACTGGTGTTTGACATTAGTACTTATGATCTTAAAATATCCCCCTTACAGATGAGGAAACAGGTTGAGAGAGGTGACATGATTTCCTCAGTCACATAATGACTTTGCTACTTAGCAAAGTCAGTTAAGTCATGTGTTCCTACTACATTCCTTCTGCCATACCTCACTGCCTCTTATCTGAGCTGGAACTCTGCTGCCATACGTACACAGCACCCCACCTGTGATGCCCTGATGAAAGGGAGGCAGTGACTTCCGCCGGTTCATTTCTTTCATACTTGCTCGCCTCCAAGATTGACTCTTGTCTTGATGATCGGGAGATTGTTCTTGGGGGGACAAATGAAGGGACCTGGACTGAAGTCCATCCTGGTGGTTGAGATCACAACTTCCTCCCACTTTAGGGCTAGAGCCAAGGTAAATTCTTTCCTTTGAAACGCCTTGAGTCATCTCCAGAGAGGCAGGTGATTTACTATACACTTCCACAGAGATGGGATCCGATTCCACGTGATGATCGTGAGTCTTAGATGTCACTGGTTCCTCTTCTAGCACTTGTTATGAAAAAGTCAAAATACAAAATCAAACCCACCACAACTATGCATCTGAGCAAAAAGGTGGAAAAACAAAATGTATGCCCCAGATCATAGAAACAGTGAGGAAGCAGCTCTGCAAACATGTAAATATGTGATTCCAATCCATCAGGAGCCAGGGAAACATTTATGTATAGCTTAGAAACCTGAACCAAAAGCAAGAGGTACTCAATTTTACTACAAGACTCACCTTCTATAGTCTCTGATTTAATTACTGAGGTCATCCTGGATGAAGAACCCTGAAAATAGGAAAACAAAGTGATCTGTTCTCCACATTGCCCCAGTATCAATGGGGCTTTGCTACCCCAGAAGAGACCTTGTATTGTTCAGCCTTTCTGAAGTGCTCATCTCTGCCCCATGAAATTCTACCTACATGACAAGGCCCAGTCTCACCTCCTCCACCTCCTCCAGAGACTGTCAGTGGGGTTCATCACGTCCTGTACTGACTTTCTACAGAACTCATCGTTAGAAATACTCATGCCTTGGGGCACCTGGGTGGCTCAGTCGGTTAAGCATCCGACTTTGGCTCAAGTCATGATCTCATGGTTCGTGGGTTCAAGCCCCACATCGCGCTCTGTGATGACAGCCAGCTCAGAGCCTGGAGCCTGCTTCGGATTCTGTGTCTCCCTCTCTCTCCGATCCTCCCCTGCTCACGCTGTCTCTCTCTCTCAGAAATAAATAAAAAACGTTAAAAAATGTTAAAAAAAAAAAAAGAAATACTGTCTCCCTCCTTTATTTCCCAATTATTTTTTAAATAGTCCCTAATATTCTAGATGGCATTATGATCTCCATGGTCTTCCAAACTAGAAAAGTCACATTATCCTTTATGTTTAATCTCCAGATGCAAAGTCCTGTCCATTCTACCTCCAACCTATTCTCCACGGCCAGTTCCAGTTTAGTTCGGATCTGAGAACTTCCCCCATCTCCCTTCCCCTCGCCAGAATAATCTTACAGCCTCTCCACTGGTCCTCCAACATCCAGCACTGCTCCTCTCCAATCCATTCTTCGGACAGCAGCAGAGTCTTCCAGCATCTTCCACACCTTTCATAAACTAGCCCTAACCTACCCATCGGGCTCTCAGGCCACGCCCACCGCCTGCACCACTTTTGAATCTTTACCCACACTACCTGTAAAACTTATTCGACCTTTCCAACCTAGCTCAAATGTGAAACTTTCCAACCACTTCTCTTTGGCAAAGTTGGTTGCTCCACCCCTTAATCTTCCTCCCCAGCCCCGATATATCTGTATTCCCAGTGGCTGTCACAGAAAACTAACTGGAAGGCAAGGAAGGATATGACAGAGGCATCTCTGCATCTACCAGCTTACCCCTTCCTCCCAGCAGAAATCTGTACTGGGAGGGATAGGGGAGGACTCTAAGTAAAGAAAAATGAATATATAGAGAGGAACAGGTGGGAAAGGTTAACAGAATGGGCGGGAAAGCCAAGGATCTACATCCCCAGTTACGGCGGTACCACAGATTCAAGCTCGGATAATAACAATGTCATTTGTTAAGCTGCTTGTTAAACGCTAATTATATGCCACGATCTGAGTACGTACGACAGTTTGCATCGTTATCTCATTATCCCACTTAACTCTTTCCAAAGTTCTGTAAATACTATCATTAATTCCTCCCTGCAGATAAGGGAGGTGGGGTTTAGAGGGGCAAAAGCCTGGCCCACTGGGGACAACCATGAGGGGAGGGGCAGGGGTGGAATTCGAACCAGGGCCTGTGACCCACCCCGAGCCCTCAAACACCTTTCTGCCGTTGAGACCGCCGGCTCTAAAAACAGGCCCCGAGCTAGAGGCGCGGCCCGCGCAGCGGAATCCTCTTACCGGGAGAAGGCCACAGCGCCCCGGAGCCCCGAAGTCTGGGCGCGGCGTAGGACCTGGGCTGGGCTGAGACATCCGACGCCAAAGAAGCAGGTGAGGGAGTGAGCCGGTCTATGTCCGGGAGAGATCTGCGACTTCCTGACCTCTGGACGACGCCAGTCTAGTCCGCAGCCTCCGTCCCTGAGATATAAGCCCGCAGATCACTCTCTGCGGTCACGGGTCGCCCCTCGATCGCCTGCACCACCGCGGCAGTCTGGTGCGCAGTCCGCGGGACGCTCCACCACCCGCGCCTCCGCTTCCGAAAAGTCCCGCCAACGAAGGGCGCATGCGTAATTGTCAGCCCCCGCCCCGCGTCCTGCACGCGTGCGCAGAACGCCGGCCTCCTTAGAGGCGCATGCGTAAACTGGTGTTCAAGCCTCGGCCTTGGGTCCGCTTCGTTAAGTCTTTACTGGCCCAGACGGGTAGCGTAATCCATTTCCTTAGCTACGCCACGCTTGGGGAGTCCCCTCCTACGGACGGACGCCACTTCGTCTTCCCCTTTGTGCCCGACACTCCCAGAGTCCAGTGAAGTTGGGGGGGCAGAGGCCCAGAGAGGTACTTGCAAAGGAATACAGTGGGCCACAGGGCATCTGATGCCCTGCCCCATTGTTAGGCCGTGGTCCCTGCCGTCTCCTTGCATTGGTAGCTACAAAAATGCGGGCCTTGTCTCTCCCAGGGCGAAATGGAGCGCTGTACTCAGTTTTTTCATTCTATCCTACTCCTACTCTAGCACTTTTTCTTTCTGTGGCCCCTTCAATACACGGCAAATTCAAGAATTCTTTACAGCCTTTATTGCAGGCCACCCTCCTCCCCAAACTCTTTATAACTCCTCTGCCCACCTTTATTGCCTCTTCCCTCTGATCCTTTGCTCAAGCCGTTCCCTCTGCTTGGGAAGCCCATTCTGGCTTTATTCTACCAAATTCACCAATTTGAAGCCACAATTGAGAATTTATCTCTTTCAGATTCTAATCTGAGGCTCCAGGCGGAAAATTCTGTGCTCTCAGAAGCCCAACCTTGCTGTTCCACTATTCCTTGCTGGCATGGAAGCCCCCAGAGAGCCGGCTGCTTCTTCAGCACCTAGCATGAGGCCATGGAAATGTCCCTTTGGGTGTGTGGTCCTTTCTTTCAGATCTGAAACCAAATGTTGAATTATTAGAAGTCTATAAAGTCTGAAAGACAGTTGGGGAACACCAGCTGGAACGTGACTGTGGTCATCCTTCCTGGGGCACCTGGGTGGCTCAGTCCTTAAGTGTCCGACTTCAGCTAAGGTCATGATCTCATGGTTTGTGGGTTCCAGCCCCGCATTGGGCTCTGTGCTAACAGCTCAGAGCCTGGAGCCTGCTTCACATTCTGTGTCTCCCTCTTTCTCTGCTTCTCCCCCATTAATCTTCTGTCTCTCAAAATAAATAAAAATTTTTAAAAATAAATTTAAAAAAAATCTTCCTTCCTGTAATTTTCTACCCTGCGGTTCCAGCCTGCTGGTTTTAATGGCCATCTGAAAACAGAGATAGACTCTTGGTTCCCTGAATATCACACTCTGGTGCTCTGTGGTACCCAGTTCTTTCTATGCCTGCCCATCTCTTTCAAGTCCTTGTCAGTGTCCCAAGAGCAGAACACTGTTCCCAGCCAAGACTGGTCATCCTGAGGCACAGTGAGAATATTGCTTCATGGATTCCAGACCCAGCACATCCTCTGTGCTTTCTCTGCTTTCAGTTCTCCCATGAATTCCTGCTGTCCACAGGATGTGTACATTCCTTCCCTCATGAGGCACTGCACGATCTGACCCAGCCTTTTTCATCACTCCTCACTCTAGTGACAACCTTTGGTTCACCCGTTCTGCTCTGTTCTCTACAAGGCTTCCATACATGCAGTGCCCCACCCTGGAGCCACCTCCCATCAGCATCCTGCCTATAATATACCACTATCCCCTTCATTTACTCAACAGCTCAACCTCAGGTGCTAGTTCATATGTCCTTTCTGTGAAGCCTTCTAATTCCTCTTGGCTCCCTGAACACCCTAGGTTCCCCCCTGCATTCACATTTGCTTTCCTGTCTTCCAGGCCCATCCACTGTATTCTCAATGCCTAGCACAGGCCTGGCTGTTGTTAGCCTCTCTTCCCCATCCCTACCCCTAGAAAAGAGAGAGGGATAGTGATGCAGATTTTTCATATGAGAGCCAGCTTCCAACATGGTCCCCGATGAGCTCTGATTCCTGCAGTCACACCCTTTGTGTTCTCCCACACTGAGTAGGGTGACCTGTATAACCAGTAAGATACTGTAGAAATGACTGTGATTTTCAAAGTTTAGTCGTAAAAGGCATTGTGACTTCTACCCTGCATTCTCATAGATTACCTACTCTAGGGTAAGCCAGTTGCCATGTTGTGAGGATACTCAAGCAGCCCTATGGAAAGATCTGTGTGGGGAAGAACTGAGGCCTCCTGCTAACAATGACTTGCCAGGCACCGGAGTGAGCCACCTTGCAAATGGATCTTCTAGCCCAAGTCAAGCCTCCACATGACTACAGTCTGATTGACCCTTGACCGCAACCTCTTGAGACACTGAATCAGAATTACCCAGCTCCCAAATTCCCAATTCACAGCACCTGTGATCCAGTAAATGTTTTGGGCCGATTATACCATAATAGATAACTGACCCATGTCTAATGTGTCCTCTTTATTTTTTCTATGATAAATGTTTTAAAGGGTTTTTTTTTTGTAGAAAATAACATTTTTTGAACACTCTACATGTTTCTCAGTGGTCATACCACATTTCCTAGAAGACTCTGAGGTGTAAGGAGTCAGTATCTGGAACCCCCGGTGGCCCCTCACAAGCGATACCAAGCCAGCCAGTTGGCGGTGACATTCCCAGGGACCCCTCCTTCCCAGGCACCTGGACTAGGGTTAGGGGGCGTAAAGTCGGGTTTCAGATCTGATGGCGGCCCCACCCACCCTGTAAGAGAAATCAGAGAGGAGGCCAAATCCATGGAAACTGTTCATATGACATACTTTATTTCCAATCTACAACCATTAAAAACCTTTTGTAAGTTTACACTGTACAGTTATTCTCATGTCTGAAATAAGACACAGGGGCAGGGAGAGCTGGCGGATTGGACCAGTTGTCCTAGCACCCAATCCAACTTGGGAAGGAGCCTTTTGAAGACAGAAGTGGGGAAGAGAAAACAGTGGACAGGAGAGGCAGACAGTTTGGCCCAAGGATGCCCTTGGTCCCTTCCCTCCCAAAAGCCTTTCCCTGGGGGCCCCTAGGGCCCCACAGCTGCAGGACCCTCACCAAGAAACCAGGCTGGGCAGGAAGGGGGCTTCACAGTATTGGCAGGTGTTGGGGAAGATGGGCCAAGATGAGACGACAGCTTCTGGCTGTCTTCCCCAGCTGCTGGGGGTTGGAGCTGTTTTTTGGCACTGTCTATTCAGTTTCCCTGGAGGTGGGAGGAGGAAGGAGAGGAGCTAGGGATTTAGGATTCTTTCCTGGAGGAGTTAGGTTTCTTACTACATGAAGACGCCATGTTCCTGTGGTGAGGTTCCCAAGGGATACATGGTGAGGGTCTTTTTTCACACACACCCCCCACAAGACTCCTACCTGCTGCCTGGCTAGCACAACTCTACAGGGCCTTTTGTGAGCAGAGCTGGAACCAAGCCAGAGGCAGGGAAAGGAAAATTATGGCCTCTCCCTGCTCTCCAACTTCCAGGAAAAGAAGGACATAGTTGTTTTGTTTGGCAGGGAGAGTTCCAATCTCTCAGGCATCTAGATGAGGTTGGTATTTTCCACCTGTTCCTGGTCTGGGCTAGCCTCAGTCCCTCACCAGGCCACACTGATTGATTGCTAGTGTAGGTCAGCAGTTGGCCAAATTCTGTTGTATGAGAATCACCTGGAGGGCTTATTAACCCCCTACCTTACTGGGCCCCACACCAGAATTTCTAATTCCAAAGGTCTTGGGTGGGGCCAGTGCTCTGTAGTTCTGTCAGGTTCTCAGGTGATGCTCTAGTTGCTTTGAGAACCTCCAGGCACCTCATCCTCAGCAACTTGGTGTCCTGAGGCAGTGACAGGGAGCTGGGCCACAGCTGGCAAGGCCCAGCCTGTGAGGCACCAAAATACCCAAGAAGCTGCTGGGAACAGTCTTGTGGTGAGCCCCCTGTGCAGAGAAGTAAACTAAGGCACAGAGATCAGAGGCAGAGTGGAGAGAGAGCCAGGATAACAGGGTCCAGTGGAGAGAGGATGGTGATGCAAGATCCCAAAGCATAAGGGGTATTCTGGGGCCCTGGGGATAACCCTGGTGCTCATCATAAAATCATAGATGGGGAGGCTGCTAGAACCAGCCAAAGAGAGAAGAAATCTCACACTTGGACTGGGTCTCCAGATTCCCAGCTGAGGTTCCTCTTCACACGAACAGTTTGAGTGGTATCAGAACTGACTGTAACAAAGCATCCAGGATCTGACTACCTCAGCCCTTCAAGGATGCTTAGAAGAAACCAGAGCTCCTTTCTTTAGGGCCTGGGATCCCATGGGCTGGTGAAGGGCAAGGAGGGAGGGAAACAGGGCTGATGGGAGGGTCCAAGGAGGGTGAAGGGAGAGTAGCAGGTGGTGAGGAGGAGCCCTGGGTGGGGGACACGGGCCCAGCATCGTGTTCCTTTTGGTTCCTGGGTCTGTGGACTTTGCAAACTTCAAACGCTGTTGGGAGGGGTAAGGTGTAAAGCTGGGGTGAGCTCAGGTCCTGCCAGGATAAGCTATTCTGGAGGCAGTGAGGCCCAGGGGAGAGCAGAGAGGATAGTGAGGTGTCAAATGGACAGACAGACCAATGAATGAATGACCTAGGGAAAGAAGAACCCAAGCCAGGCTGCATCTGCCTTCCAAACAGGGCTAGGCAGGACTGGGCAGGGTACAGGAGCCCAGGAGGCGGCATTCAAGTCTGCCCCACCCAACAGTGGACCCAAGAAACACCACCAGATGTGACAGCAAACATCAGAGGTGGACGATCACGGACACAGGCACTTCCTGGACAGGACGGGAATGTGAGCCTGAGTGGGGCAGGGAGGGGTTGCTGATGCACCAGGGAAATCCACGGCAGGGGAGTGAACAGACTGATCCCAGAAAGAGGAAAGGGCTCGACCAAGAGCAAAGAATGGCGGGGGGGGGGGGGGGGGGCGTTCTCATTCACAACTGGGGATGTAGCACCTGCTGGGAGTCAGGAAACATGGGTCTGGTCCTGACTCTGCCTTTAGTTTGCTATGTTACCTTGGGTGAGCCACTCTCTTCTCTGGGCCTAAATTTTTCTCTAAAAAGTTGAGGGGGTTTGACATAAAAGGACAGATATTCTGTGATTCCATTTATATGAGCTACCTAGAATACACAAATTCATAGAGACAGAAAGTAGAATAGAGGTTACCAGGGACTTGATGGGGGGCGGGGGGAGGAGTTATTGTTTAGTGGGTACAGAGTTTCAGTTTGGGTAATAAAAAGTTCTGGAAATGGATAGTGGTGAAGGTTGCACGGGGTCATGTCTGGGCCAGGTAGTTAGTGGCATATTTTGGGTATTCCGTACCTAAACAAAAAAGCCCCCAGTGGGGCAGTGGGTTTACACAGCAAGCAGAATGGAGTTGGGCTAGGGGATCCAATGGATCCAGGTCCTAGTCTAGGCTTGATGACTTCCCAGTTAGGGGACTCTGGGATGAGACCTGCACCTCAGTTTCCTTATCTGCACTAACCCATCCTGCTAAGGCTGCCTCCCAGAGCTGTCCCTGAGAGGTCTGAAGGAGAAGGGGGGGGGGGGGGGGGGGGGGG